ATTTACTGCCGGGTCGTGATCGAATTACCTAGCCTTCCGTCCGACGTCCCCGCTCGACAGGGTCCACTCCACGTCGAGCTCACACCAAGACGCTTTGATTCGGTTTGTCTCCTTCGGTGTGCTCGTCCCAATAGCCAAAGACCGACGATTCCTCCCCCTCCTCGCCGACGCTTCGAAATTGCGTTATCAAACCCCCCAAACCGGATAAAAATCCTCTCCCCCGATATTTCCCTCGAAATTGGGGGATCCGAAAAACCGCAGCCATCTCGTCCCCTCCGCTGCGGTCCGTCGAGAGCAACCTGTCAATTTCCCTGCGCTGTCCTTTCCAATCGGTCCATTTTCTCCCCTTTTCCTCCCTTTAGCCCGAAACCTGGCAACGAGCTTCCGGGCACTCTTATCCATAAGTTGGCGAAGCAATCGCCAAGTTCCCTGGCTGACGAGCGGAAAACCGATGGGGGGAGGGCCGGTCCTAAGAGGCGATTGCGAGTTCGGCGTTTACTGCCAAATCGTGACCGAGTTAGTCCGGGTTAGTCCGGGTTAGTCAGGGCCAGGTTAGGGCAGGTCGGGTTAGGTGGAGCGAGCTCGTCGCCGAGGGCCACGTAATCGGGAGGTCGCGGAGCCGGAGAAGAGTGCGACCATCCTTGGATACTTTCCAAATGATCGCAATCACCCGACCGGGAGGTATATACCTCTACCTGGGCACCCATACCCGGTATTCCGATGGTTAAATAAAGTAACAAGTTGGCTTATTACGTTATTCATAGCTCGTTGAAGTTCCGGTTCCAGGACGCGCCGTGGCGTGAGTTAGAGGAGGATCGCCGGTTCGGCGAAAGTTCCCCTGATAGTTTCCGGCATTAGGCTATTTGTAGATAATGTCCGCCGGATTAACAAACAAACGACGTCGCGATATTCCCGGGGCTAATCTTAAACCGCTCCCCCGATAAATTGGCAGCGAGCGGAATTCCCGCCGACAGCCCGCGGCTGTATCAGGCTCCGCCATTCTTCCCTCTTCGCCCCTTTTCGCCCCTTTTTTGTCTACCTTTCCGCCTAATTTATCATCCGAATGCAGTCTCGTCGGTGCCTCGACGTTCCCTCGATTTAGTAAATCCCCTTCCCCCTGCGACGATCGGGCGCACCCACGGGGCGTCTCTCTGCCCTGCCGAACCTCGGATTTCGCACGTACGTTTTCGCATATGCGTTTCTATTCCGCCTGAAACGCCAAATGAGATGCGCCGGAAGGTTCGAACATTGCGCGGAACGTCGGTCGCGTTTCCGCACGGCGATGATTAATCGTGGATTCCTCGGAAACCACCGACGCAATAATTCTAGGCCGGCTGGTGGAAGTTGGGCGGGTCATGGGTCCTGGATTTTGGGGAGAGATCATTCCGGAATTGCGGATAAATATTGAAACGAGAGGTAATGACACTCCTTACCGGGTATTCCCGATCAGCTGACTCGCCGACCCGTTTGCGGGAAATTATTTTGCGACCCGTGGATCCGCTTCCCAGGGAATATTCGCGGAATCGCGATCCCGTCTACACAGCCGATTAACAATGCTGGATTTATGCGGCCGAATCCTTGATTAGAAGCACGGATTGCTTAGCGAGTGTCTTAATTTATGGTTTCCGCGTAAATATCGATTCGGCGGCCGCGTTGTTGCGGGGCTAAACCGGCGCCAGGAATGCGCCGATAAATCACCCGGGCGAAGTGTCTTCATTGAATATGGCGAACGTCCGTAATTAAGATGTAAGATAAAGTAAAGAGGTGTATAAGTTAGGGCGTCGCCCTCCGCCCTCTCTCTTCTGGTCGAGGCTTTCATAAATATGTCTTTACGAGGAAATCGCTCTCGGGCGAAGCCGGCCCCCGGATTCTTCGGGGCCTCGTGAATTTAATTAATTAAACTTTCGTGCTCGCCGGAAGTCGCGAGGGTAATTTTCCTTTTTCCGACCGTTCTAGACAATTTTCCCCCCCGTGCTTTCTCTCTTTTCAGGGCCCCTCCCCTGTCGGCGAGCTCCCCTGTCCCGGTCTCGGGAGAAAAACTCCTGTTAAAGAGTTACGGAATTAACTGTACAAATTTATACGTTCAAATGGTAACCCGAAGTCGAGGATTATAAGGGCGGTTTCTTCCCGTAAAGGGGGATGATACAATGGCGACGTAGTTCCTCATTTTCGAGGGTGCAGAAAATGTCAACCCGGACCGCGAGTACCAATCGTCCGATTAATTGCGGGGCGGTCAAATGTCGTTTCCCCGGTTTATTTAATTTCCCCACCCCGCGCGATTACCCTCTCGACCAAGGGGCGAGAACGCGCAATTTTTAATACAACCCGCGCAGTTTAACCGACGCCACCCGGGAAACTTTTCAAATTTGCAACTTCCGGTGGCGCTAATACGAGTTCAACATACAACCGACCCTCCACTTTGGCGCACGAGTATATCAATTATGCCGCCGTGGTTGCCCTCCGCTCCGGTTTCCGCATCCGATCCGCAACGACTGCGTCAAGGAGAGAAAGAGCCGGGTCCGTCCTCTCGATCCCGTTCACGGTTAAATTGTTATCGGCAATTTTCCACCGCGTGGCAATGGCAGAGTGGCAGAGGAGGACGTCGTTCAAATATTTACATCCGAATAATAAATAATTTCCCATGTACCGCAGTCCCTCGGGGCCAGATGGAAGTTTATCGCCGCAGCGTATTTCCGTTCTCGGGGGCCAGTGGCCCTCTTTCCTCTTTCCTCTTCAATTTCTGCCAAGGCATAAAGCCGCAACGGCATCCACAATTTCCCGTTCGGAGACCGCCCCCAGAGGAGCGACAGGGTCGACTTCTTTAATTTTTTCCCCGTCAACTTCCTCCTCCGAGGCGAAGTCTTCGGGTTTCTCGCGAGCCCTTTTTCCTTCCTCCCTCCGGAGAAAAACAAGGGAAGACATCCCCCACCGACGTGGTCCGGTACCTACGGGTCCGCCCTTGATCCTCTTTCATCGATAAACCTCCCCTCGCAATTTTCATCGGGATTTTCCCCGGGTCCGCGGGCGTGAATAATTTTTTCCGGCCGCCTCAATTTCCGGGACGCCGGACATCGGCCGCGACGCCGACCACCGGCTTGAAAATAACAAATAATTGTCCGCCCATAGGAGGGAGGGCTCAAGTTTTCTCAAGTCCTAGGGAACTTCATCGGCCGAGTATATTTCCGGGGCCCGTGGCATTGCCCTCCTGTTTCTGGCACGTACGGTCTACCCACCGAGGCAGAGGCGAGAGATTTAGCGGCGCTCCTTGAACGAGGGGCCAACTTTGCTTTCAAAAGGCTCGGCCGGCGCGCGCCGCCGTGAACAAATCGAATTAGACAACTTTTCCCGACATATAAAGGGGGTTTGCGCTCCGTGGGACGTTTGTCCGGGCAGTTTAGGATTTGTTTGCCTGGAGATTTCGTTAGATCGCCGCCCCCGGTCCCGCCGATCCGACCCCGAGCCCTCCGACTCGTCCCGACAAATAATTCCCAGTCCCCGGGGAGTCTCCCGAAACCCGATAAAACCTTATTGATAAAGTATATTTCCGGCCTCCCCCTTGACTCTCCGTTCCTGGCGCCTCTACATTGCTCGACACACGGAAAGGACTTCTTCCCCTTTACCAGAACTCCTCTCGCTTCCAAGTCCCTCTCGAGTTCGATATAAATTCCTGGATTTCTAATTTTTAATTCCACACCCTTCGGAGGAATATCCAGGAAGATGGAGAGAAAATCAGGCATTGAAAATCGTTACCTTGGGTATAAATATAAATATTAATGTGTGTATGAAATACACAGGGATGCGCTAGGAACTGCACCATAGGTGCAGCAACCTCAACGCAGAGGGGATGAAATATGTTGCAGTGGGGTGACCGAATCCAAGAAATAATTTCCGTTCGGAGGGTTTCACGAGCCTCATATTAGCGATGTGTCGTAGGGATGTGCCGACCCTTCGACCCTCCACCCTCGGCCTTTCAGGGCGCGATACGAGATTATAGTGGCATCCCTCTATCGAGAGGCGGACGTTCCACTCAAAGGGGTGCGCCGACATGAATAGAGCGATTTCTTCCCAGTCGAAAATGGCTCCGACCTCGGAATACGAATCGAAGGGGGTCGGCAATAAACACTCGGGGCTCTTCGGGAACCTTTGCCTCCCTCCCTCGCAGGGCCAAAGGGCGCCTCTCGAAAACACCCCCGAAAGCTCGTAATTGCGAGGGCGAAAAGCACCCCGACCCGAGTCGCGAAATTATCCCCTACTAATTCCCGCCTTCCGGCAAGTCGAGTGCACCTACGACGAATTCGCGGAGACCCGGCACGCGTCGTTTCCACCCCCCAAGTTCGGTTTCAACCCCCGAGTTGCTCCATATTCCAAGACTTCGCCCCACCTAACGCTCTTTTCTGCCCATAGATCCTCATCATTGTCACCATCGGAGGACATATCGTCACGGGAGTCGCGAAAGGAGCCCGTCGGAACATCCGCTCGGGGGTGTAAAACCGAGGGGGTGAACCGAGTCGAAACTGGGGCGTTTAATCAGAGCCGCGTTAATGAGTGCATTCCGCATTTACGGGAGGGGAATGCGGTGGCAGAAGTTCGCGGGCGGCATCAGGGATTTATTGGCAAGTATCGAAGGGGTAGTTGCCCCTCGGGGGGTCCGAGACGAGCTATAGGGTGCCCTTTACGGCGCCCGTTATTTCACTCCCGTCGATAACGCGGACGACGCGTCGTCGCGAGGCGTCATCGCGGGTATGATAACGACTGCCCCCGCGATAAGACGCACTCGACGATGTCCAATAAAATCAGGGCGGATTCATAAGAAACGCTAAAAGCCGGGATAAACCCGCGAGGGGTGGGGCTCGTCCGAGTACATGAAAATTCGATCTCACCCTCTCCTCGAGCTGGTCCACGGGCTGCTGGAGTGACCCGTGACAACGAGACACGTTCTACGTCCTACCCCGTACTGAAACCCTTGTACGTGTGCATGTTGCAGGTACAAAGCTGAAAAGATGATCCGCGATTACGTGATGCTCCTCTCCTGGCTGTGCACGGTGCAGGGGAAAATAGGCAAGTGCATTTCCGTCGGCGAGCCTTTTGTTGGGTGAAATAATTGAATAGCTCGTATTACGCGGCCCCCTTTCTCGCCGCCCCCCATATATACGGTAATATCAGAGCGTTATCACAAGCCCCCGCGTCTGGCCGCATTTATTTCCATAATGCACGAGGGGGGCCCCGAAGAAGTGGGGCCGGGCGTGAGCTTCAAATTCTTTCGCGTTATTATTTCACTAATGATCGCGAGTCTCGCCCGCCGAGCTTCCGAGGGAGAGAAAAGCCCTTCCGACGCGGCCGACCCCCCAGGGGGTGGCGGGCGCACTTCGCGAGGCACACACGGGGCTGACCTATTAAATTTTCACACGTCCCCGTGTCCCGATGTTAACTCGCAAAAGTGCCCCTTTCCTCCCGGGTTCAGCCCCCGGGTTATATGCCACGGCACGTCGGGTCGTCTCGGCCCGGTCGCGAAAAAACGCGTGCGTCGATCCGCTCCCGGAACGGGGGCGCGGGGGCGAGCTTCTCAAAGCTGCGGGATTTTTCCCCGGCTTCAAAGCCACCGCTTCCGCGGAGACGCGTTTCATTCGTCGCGGAGATTTCCATGAAAAATTACGCTCGCCCCCCTTTGATGCCCCCTGGCTCGACTGCGGGGGTGGCGGCGCCACCCCGACGAGGAATTATCTTCGTTTGCCGTGTTTACTTATTTTATATATTTCCGCGCGGAATTACGCTCCCAGGCTGCAATTCGACCGCGCGGGATCGGGGAAAGTGGGGGTGGAAAACGTGGAGAAATCGCGCTCGAAAACTCCCGGATTCTTTGGAAGTTTCGAATCTTTGGGGTTAACTCGCGTGCACTTTCCTCCAGGGGGATTATCTTCGTTCGTCGTGGTTATTTATTTATTTTATATATTTCCCGACGTGAAATTGCGGTCTTGGCCGCAACTCGAAGCCGGGGGTGTCGGCGCAGGAAGGGGAAAAAGGGCGAAAAGGGGGAAAACCCGTGGAAAAGCGCGATCGCGGAAACACTCGAAAACTCGCGGATTCTTTGAGACCCTCGAATCTCGGGCGTTAACTCGCGTGCACCCTCTTAGAGAGGGTGCGAGGGGGTTTCGGGATGGGGGGCTCGAAAACGCGCATCCCTCGAGTGATCTTTCCCTTCGTCTTTGCAGGCTACTTCTGGCACATCACCGACATCCACTACGACCCGAAGTACTCGACGCAGGGAAACACGGCGAACAGTGAGTACACCCCGTGCATGCGGCCTATTAATTCACCCCGGGCTTTCTTCCGCCGAAGTGCTCCTCCCGAGATATACCCACCTGAGGGTGCATTTACACCCGGGGCACTAACGCGACTTGTCGGCCCGACTCCACCTTTTCTCCTTAGCCCGGGAAACGGAGGACCCTCCTCGCCCCTCCTGCCGGACGAAGCCGGAGAAAGAGATGAAAAAATAAGGAAAAAGAAAAAGTAAAAATAAGTAAGAGCGAAAGGGGAAGACCTTTTCCCTCCTTGAGACGCATTTTTGAGCCCTCTTCTTAGCAAGGACGTACCCAAAGGCATTCTTCTTTAAAGCACCGTACAACCCCTAAGGTTAAGGGGACTTTGCCACGCGCAGGAAACGCACTCGGAAAAGCACCGGAGTTTATTTGTAGTATTCCCATGTTTATCCCTGAATTATGGAGAGCGGTGAAACGCGCCCTCTTGCACGGTGAGGGGCTCACAGAAATGGATTACGATGAGTTACCCTGCAGTTACGATCGCACTTTAATCGTGACGCCAGGGTAAGTGCAACGGTGTCATCAAATGTCACGTCGGGGTGTCCCTCCCCCAAAATGTCCTCCCAGCTCGGGGGGGGTCCTCCACCGGCTTTTCTCTACTTCTTTCCCCCCTTGGAAAATAGCGAAAAGTACGGAAAAAGGCGGCAGAAAACCCGGAGACGTCCTCCTTGGTCGAGGCGAATTTTTGAGACCTCCCCTTAGCAAGGGCGCGCCCTGGGGCGTTCTTCCCCCTTCTTCCTTAAAATACCGCGTAAGGGAAGTTTGTCGCGCGTAAGGAATTCATCGTACATAGAGAAGGAACTACAGCCGCGTTATTTCCTCGATTATCCCTGAATTATGGAGAACGTCGATACGGTTTTCCGGCACAGAGGCAGCGGCTCGAAAGGGGGGCAATAAGAGGGATTCCGCAGCGGCGGCCGCTCGCGATTCTTCACCGCTCCCAGCCACGTATGGATTATAACGCGGTGCTCGGAATTTACGTTCCTTTTCCTATGAATTCCCGAAGTAACGCGCGGTGATGGTGCATCCTTGGCGTTTTCTTTTCCTGTAGAAAAAAAAAACGAGAAAATCGCGAAACTTCTTCCTGGCGCTCGATTGCTCTTAAGCGTCGATCCTCTCTCGCGAACGCTGATCCTTTTAATTTTTTCTTCCCTTTTCTCTCTTTCTCTATCGAACCGTCCCGGTCGGCGACTCCTTTGACACGATTTCCCGTAACGACGACAATTCTAAGCGGCCCTTAACGCGCGCAATCCTCCTCGCAGCCCGTAAAGAAAGACAGAGGTCGTTCGGGAATAAAAGTGGCGCTTCCTCCTCGGATTTCACAGAGTGCTGGAACACGAGGAGCAACGTGGACAATGGTCGGATGCGACTGGACCAGCGACCGGATGGCGCATTCGGGGACTATAAATGCGATTCGCCGTGGGCCCTCATCGAATCGGCGGCCCAGGCCATGAGGACGAAGCACGCCGAAGGAATCGAGTTCGTCCTGTGGACAGGGTAGGTGGTAACGATCTACCGTTTCTCGTAAACGAGGATATTTTCCCCGGGAGCACGGCCGTCCCCCCTTCCTTCGGCGCGGAATCCGATTGTAAGCTGAATATTTATGGCCCAGAGTCCGTTTTAATCCAGTTAAAAAGCTCCGGGCTTTGTACTTGTTGCTAGAGATGGAACACCCCGACGGAGTCCTCTCGGGGCCCGAACGAGACGGCCCCGATGGCCTTTTTTCCGCTTTTCGGGGGCGAATTCAAGGGTTGACATTATTTTCGGCCGGGTGGATTCCTGAAGGAAGAGGAGGGAAGTGATCCGTTTCCGGGCCTACTTGTTGCAGGGACGCTTTGTCGAACGCCGCGGGGATGAGCGACGAGCTGCGCCTCCAGTCCCTCAAGAACCTGACGGATCTTCTGTCTCACACGTTCACCGGCCTCTTCGTGTTCCCCGTCTTGGGCCACGAAGACATCGGCTTGAATTTCACCCAGATCACAAATCTTTGGAAGCACTGGCTGCCGCAGGATGCTCTCAACACTTTCGAGAAGAGTGAGTACCGCGCACCCCCCCGCCGCGTATAAAACTTTACTGCCCGCGGCCATTTTTTTACGGCCCCGCAGAAGTGCCTTCAACTTCGGCCGCGGCGATTTTTCCGCGAGCTGGGATGTATTCTTTCAATTTATTCCCCGAGCCGGCCGAACAATCGCCTTTAATCGGCCGAAAGAGGCATTATTTCAGGCCGCATAGGCATACAATGACATTCGACGAATTTGCATGATTTCGTTGCGCGGCTCGACCGGGTGACCCGGAAGGGGTCGCATTTAAAGCCAGGCCATTTTTTTTTATTTTCATTTTTTTTTTACTTCCGAAAAAGCATTCCATGCCTGGGTTTCGTAAATATGTACAGTGGATCCAAGTTGAGGCCGATACAAAGTTATGAGCCGAAAATTCTGGCTGATGGGCAAAAATTGTTCCCGGCTAGCTGGCGGAGCCGCGGGAGGGAAAAATCGGGGAGAGGGAGAAAAAGGTTGGACAAATCGGGCAGCGAACGAAACTTTGACCGGGCTTCCCTTTCAGAGGGTCCCGGTGAAAGCATGAAAGTGATCGCGTGGCATGAAAATTGCCGTTTCGACGTTATCGACCGTTCGAGCTCCATCTTCTATCGGGAAGAGATCTTATTACTAGGTGCATTTCGATATCGTGAGCCGCGGTCTAATGGGCCGAGTTTAATAAATAAGATATGCACGATAGGGAAACATCGCTCATCGCGAGGGCGTAATTGAATTACCTCGTCCTAGCTTCTAAACATCGTGCCTCGATTTACGTTGAATCGGTATCCGGCGGTACCTTTGTACGTACAGAGGTATTTTTATCCCACGAATGAAATAAAATAATAAATAAAACTCGAGCCGGCTCCTCCTAAAAATCCATTCCGTCGGCGCGCCATGACTCGCGTTAAATGCACTCTCCTCCTCAAATATTAGTACACCCTGTCATTGTACCCTGTGCAAAGTCATACCCGCCGTTGGATGTTCGATTTGAATCGATTCGCAAAGTACCGCCCGGCTAAGGCCCGCTCGAAATCAGAACTCGATGACGTAGAATTTCCTCCCCGTCGATGCATGACCCCCCATTATCCGAAAATAACGAGCTCGGATAATCCGTGTAAGCTTCGCGATAAAATAATCATATCCCATTTCATGGCAGTGACATCGTACAGGTAACCTCCACCGAGCCCCGGAATTAATTCCAAAGCCAATTGATTATAAACCGTCCTCTGCTACGTGGCGGCGAACGAATTGCGCCGAATGCATTAATAAAGCACCGTGTATTCACCCAGCGAATCAAAATCACGGCCGTTAATATTCATATCCATCTTGCCGGGCAGCGGCCCCGGCACTCGTACCTGAATTATAAAACGATCCCGCCAAGCGTTCCATTTATTGTTATAGGCGGGGCCGAAATGAGGCATTTGGGAATGCACGCAAAATGTCGCAAAAACGAATCGAAATGGTGGCGTGACTTATCGAATCGACCCCCTCGATCGGTCGGGCACCTGCGATCGATTTGCCCTGATAAACCGCGATCGATCCGGAGACTCCGCGCGTTAAAACCGCACCGAACATCCGTTCTTCCGCTTCCGATAAAAATCGAACGAGGGAAAATATCACGGGCAATTATGGGCAGACGGCTCTAATTGGCACATTGACCATTCGCATTGTAAATGGGCCCGCTATTAAATCCGTAATGAATTTTCAATAGCCACAGGCAGCGGGGGGACTTTCGGACTACGTAATATGTACCTATCGAAGATCAATGACACGGCTTGAAAGTATCGATAAGCAGTGCCCGCGGAAATTGATTATCGACTGGCCGGCCAACCGCGATCTCGCGTGATAAGGGGAAACCGAGGAATTAATCTCCAGGTCGAATTTGTCGAGCTCGCGTCCTCGTCTTGTCGGATTAATTTATCGGCCCCCCTCGGTGCCGAAACAGTGACGAAAAACCTGCGAGGAGATATTTATCGCCCAATTACGAATCTCGATGCGTCTCGGGGGAGCTAGGCGCAATCTCCACAAACTTGGACCGTTAATTAGGACTCTTCATGTAACGACGGAGCTTGTTATACGGGAAACTCGGTTCGCGTCACATTACGTGCCCGTAATGATAAAGTCGAGGGAGTTTATCGCCGCCTTTTCGCGATGGACCATTTTGCCTGCTGCAAAGATTGCGGAAAAAAAAAAAAAATAAAAAATAAAAACAAGGAAAATCATGGATGTCAAATCAGTGAGCACTCGACGGGTACTAGTGTTGTATCAAAGAACCCCTTAAAATCAATCGACAAATTCGGAGAGGAGAAAATGGTAAAAATGTCTGACCAGAGCTAGCGAGGACCCCCAGTATGGAATTTCATTGTTTGTTAACCGCGCTGGCTTGACGCGAAATATCAAATTACAACTCCTGGTCGCGATGCGAAGAGAGAGAGAGAGAGAAAAAAAAAAAGCGAATAAAATATGGGACCAGAGATTCCGCCGAAAATGACTGCACTCCCTACGAGAAAAAGCGGAATATTCTGAATAACTGACGGGCACAATTTATTAGGCAACCGCGGTACACGGCATGACGCGTTCGCACGATGTGAATGCGACTCTTCGCGAACGAGCCAGCCAGAGGGGTGCTCGTCATCGTTTTCATTTGCGATTTTTCATGAGCCTCCGACACGTTATTCCCATATTTTTTTCTTTTTTTCATTCCCCAGACGGCTTCTACACGATCGACCAGCGGACCCAGAACTACCGGATCATCGTGCTGAACACGAACCTGTGGATGAATTCGGGGGCGATAATCGACAACCGGATTCCGCAACGCAACGTTGTGACGACCAGCGACAACTCGAACGACCCTTACGGCCAATGGGAGTGGTTTCAGTCGATCTTGACAACGGCTCGAAAAAAGGGCCAAAAGGTGAGTCCCTCGTATCGATGCGGAATATTCCCGAAATTCAACCCCCAATGCCGGCCGTCGATAGGTCGACGAGGTGTCGCATTAATCGTCATTACCGGGACGGCAGTCATTCGTTGCCAATCAATTTCCACGGGGCGGCAAACGGTTTACGAGCATTCGAGACTCCGCAAGTGGCACAATTACAGTCGTCGTAAAACATCGGCGAACCGGCGTCCAAATTTTACGGCCGTTCATCCGGACAAAACGCTCCGACGTAGCAGTTAGGCGCGGCGAAACGCGAGCTCGCTCCCGTCGATTCCGCGTCCCACGAAACGCACGCGATCGGGATTTCGATCCTACCCTTACTTAACCCCTCAAAGCGACTAAAAAGCCCTCTAGATGCTCTTAAGCGCCAAATTTTCCACATCGACGCGGTATAATGATTTTTTCCTCGAAATTTCTACGCCCTCCAGGGGAAGATTCTGCACCCTTTCGGCCGATTTCCAGGGGTTGGTTCCACGTTACACGGATAGACACCCCGGCCATGGACCATGTAACTCCAGTCCGGGGAGATATTTTCGCCTCGGCAGCTCTGCGTCCATTATCCGTGCGCATAAGTCCGATTCATGAATATTAACGAGGTTGATTTTCTCTCCTTCGGATGAAACGTTTCGACGTGGGCGCGGAATTAAGGTCTTTGAATTTTAAGGATATGAATATTAAAGGGTAGGAGCCATTCGCTCAGTGGGAGGATCGGGGGGGTGGAGGTCTCCCTCCTGACGAGGGGGGCGATTTTCTCGACATCCCGAAACGGAGAGACGAATCGGACGGAACGCGACTCGTCCTTGCGTTGAAATTAAGGCTGACGTTAAACGAGCGGACAAGTGGACCGGCACTTAACCGCATTTGCTAAGGGCTTATCGTCCCCAGTGGCGGAATTTAGCTCACATTTCGCGTCCGCATAATTAATGCCCCCGTAGTCGCGCTTTTTCGAACCAGCCACTCTAACGTCGCGTCGTTTTGTCAACCACTTGGAGTAATGGCGCCTCGGTTGCCCGTCGTTTGCCCGTCGTTTGCTGCCCACTTGCAGCAACGAGTGCTCCTCGTGGACGGGCGCTCCTCGAGGCTCGCCGATGACACCCTTAGCCTTTGAAATTAACCGCCAACGACCGGACGTCTCTAGAATCGATCCCTCCGGCTCTTCGGCGCCTCGCGTCCCGTCAAAGACGTCGACTCCTCCAATTGATGAATTCTTCTTCTAATTATTTCTGCCCCCCACAAATGAGTAACACCCCCCAAATATCTGGAAATCCTTCCCTCCAGGTGGCGTTAATATCCCCTAGAATAATCAGAGGGATGATCCCCGACATCCATTCCGATTACGTGGTCGTCTGAATAGATTCGCACAGTCGGTCTTTCTAAAAGGCGCAAAAGTGTCTGGCCGCGTCCCGACAGTGGGAACTAATTTTTTTCCACGCGAGCGCGATTCCGCTGACGAGCGAAAGACCAGCTGCGGATCCTACGGGAGTGCCGGGTGCATTTAAAGACGAGAACTTAAAGATCGCCGCGAGCCCTGGATTACCGGGAAAAGGGGGAGCGCACATCAGGAATGAGCGATTACCCCGGAATACGTCTTGAATTCCAGACACGCAGGGCATTCAAAAAATGCTTGCTTCGATACCCGACAACGAGAGATCCCGTCTGAAAGAGCCGGAAACCCCATTCAACCGTCCCCGTTCTCTTACCCTCACTTCTAGCAGGGGCGAGAATTCGCCGATTGCGCTCGAAAGTAAATCCGAAGTCGCCTCCCATTCTCCTAGGAGACCCCGGGAAAATTAAACGCCTAGTCAAAATTTCTCCCTACACGAGACAAAAAGATGACGTAGGATCGAGAGTACGAGGGGGTGGCTAATTAATAGAAAAGAACCGCGGCGAAGGGGTAGGTGGACGTCGAGGGCTGTAATAAAGCACCCTTGCGCATCCCTTGTCTCCCAAAAACGGCGCCTTTTAGCATAATTCTCCCTCGGCAAGCCGGCTACACCCGAGCGATTAACCTTATTACCGGGGAGGGGAAATAACGAGTACAGGGCCACTTATAAGTAATACGCCGGGGAAAGGGAGAGGGGAAGGTAAAATCGATGTAAGACTCCTTCCGAGTCGCGCTCGGAGGGCGCTACTCCCGGAGTCCTTTTGGCGTCTTTTGGCGTCCTTTGGAGTCCTGCGAGGGATTGGCCGGCCAGTCAAAAGTGACATAGTGCCTTCCGGGCCATAATTGAGCTGTCAAAAGCGACGGCCCCCCTTTTTCGGAGTCGACACGTCCGGTTCTCGATCGACGGAGCAGTCGGGCTCGATCGCCACTCCATAAATTACGGGGCCGGTCCTGATTAAGATATATGTGCCCGGCGGAATGCCCGTGGAGATTTTCACCTAGCGCGGCGGCATCACGTTGCGGGGACTTTAAATGAATTATGGAAAAAGAGGGAGAGAGAGGAACCTAGTCCCCATGCCGCGCGAAAAGTCTATAAATCACGCCGCTCGCGATATCGACCCCCCTATCGGATTGATGACCGGCGCGTTGACAGGAGGCCACATCTCGCGAAAAGGCCCGATGGCACCTCGTCGAAATACCCCCCGGTTAGATCCAGGATACCGGATACCCTGGATACCCAGCAAACCATGGCCCAGGGCACTGGGGATATTATCGCCGATATTGCGGTCCGGCCACGAAAATTCCCCGCAAGAAGCGGAATAATCGCGAGCGCTACCCCCCAGGGCGGGGGAGGGCGCGGTTGAATTAAACATCCACGATCCCGTCGTCCAAGATGGCCGGAATCGATGAACGGACCTTAAAGGGCTCCCTGGAAGGGAACTCCCTCGGGCTAATTTCCCGGGACGCCCTCGCTGCATTGTCTCGCCGACTACCCTCGGATGTCGGAGGTGATACCCCTTATCGGACGCCGATTGCCCACGCGTAAATGGGACCCTGGGAGGTGTAACGAGCCGACCTCTCCTCGTTACCTTGGACTCCTAAGTGAGCGATTTAAGGCACCTCTTCAAATTCCGATAGATTATTCAGAGCCATCATCATCTGGCTTGGGGTAGGGCATGGACGAACGGAGGATGATGGCCGAGAGGGTTATGTCGGAGTTTAAGGGCTGAGTTTAAGGCTGATACTCGATGAGCTCAATCTGGGAATTAATCTTGGGAATTATTGGAAATGGTACTTTCATTCATTTCCCTCCCCTGTGTAATTATTCGGCTGCATCGAGCAGGACTTCCAGGATGGATCATTCGAAGAACCGACCACGTTCGATCGGGAATTACCGATCGTTTAAGCGCGTCAGCATCAGAAGCTACCAATCAACGGGCCCATTGTCGTCCCGACCAATTGGTTTACGTTTCCATGAATGGTACCGTGATTTCCGAAGCCCGTCCGTCCGGGGAAACGACAAAAAAGTCCCGTCCACTCGCGGCCAGCGACGTTTCAAAAATCGCCGGGCCGCCGCTTCCTGCTTGTCCGGCGGATTTCTTCTTTTTATTACTCTTTTTTTTTTGTTAGCTAAAAACGAGGAAAGGTACTGCAGGAAATTAAGGGACGAGCATCCGCGAGACGATGAGGAATCTCGCGGACGTATTGGCTACTTGTCTCACGATATTTCCTTGATCAAAGGAAGGGGTTAACCCGAGTTTCATACTTCACTTGCGAGGGAAAATCTCTGTACTTTCTGGTCGAGAAATAATGGCATATGAGCCTTGATTAGTCGTTAGTCGCTAATGTAGGGTGGAAATTGATTTCGCATGGCTCCCTGGTCGCAATTGATACTGTTCTCGCTTTTTAATTATTACTTTGAAATAATATCGGGCAACCGCAGCTCGTGTAGCTGTAACGTGTTAATGCAGTGTATCGATTGCGGTTGAGGTAATATGTGGCGGCGGTACGTGCGACGGCTGTAAATTATAACACCGCGAATGAGCGAATGGGTTGTAAAATCGAATGACGATTCGGCCCAGGAATCGTTAATTATACGAAGTCGGGTGGAGGGCGCGCCGATATGGAGAAATTGATAGCCAAATTTACCGACAACCCCGAGGTAGGATTTTTCCTTACCTAGAGAAAATTATTAACTTAAGGGACAGCTGGTTTGCCGATGCAATTTAATTAAAAATCTACCCGGCCGAACGAGGCAGGATAAACATCGAGTTGCATTTAATAGGAAAGAAATCTTTATAATTTCGCCCGATCTAACTTTTAGCCCGCCAAAACGGAATCATTACTTACTCTAATTGGGAAAGTTATTCGAGGTAATTAACGAGGTCCTTGCCGGCCTTCTGTGTAAATAAATTAATTATAACTCCGCGATTGTATCTCCGCGGACAGGAGACGATGCCTTTCGTTTCATTTCTACTCTGGGGGTGTTTCTCGGGAAATTCGTAAATGATTTCATGGACCCTTGATAAGGCCGGTTAGATTCTTTCCCCCGGTGCCGAGGAAACGAGAATTCCTCCTTGGGAATAAAATCGAGTCGTGACCGAGCCGTAAAATCACGAGATCGCGTTGCACCCGCCACCGGCGGAATCGATCGCAAAACGAGTCTCCCTCCATTCTATCTTAACAGAGCATGAATAAATAAAAATAAATTTACCGGATCCCCGCTCTTTATAAGAGATTCGTTCCGGCTTGCCGATCCCACGGTTAGACGAACGGCGCGAACCGGGAGCCTTGTTAAAAGTAATTGAAAAATATTTACCTCGTTGTAAAACCCAACAGAGCCGAATGGTTTAATTGCGGGGTACTAATGAGATTTAGCTAGTTAGCTTAGCTCCGGCGGTGCGCAATTAAGTTAATTCAAATACAACGCAGCCGCATGGATAAACTTTTGCCGGATCGGCCGCAATCCTCGGAGGATCGAATCGATCTCGGCCAAAACCTGATTCGATTCATTTTGCTTTTCAATGCAGAGCTTAGCGAGGAAAGCGCGCCGGCAAATACTTCCAGTTGGCCCGTCAAAACTACGGATAATCCGGATATTGTTATTCGAATATTCATTTTTCTGTCAACCGGGTATCGGAGTGCACAAAAGTCCCATGTACCTCTCGTCGGCACCGACGAGGATTTATCGTCCCTCCTATGGACTGGCGAGACGATTGGTTAATGGATTTTTATATTTTTTATTCCCCCCACCGGAGACATTAAAACGCGCGAAGGAAGGAGTCCGCGAGACAACGGCGGCCGGAAGTGCGATCGTTTATCACGAAATCGGGAATTATTCCCGGGTTAAACAAATCAATGTCTTGTGTCGTAGCCGAGGATCGCGATCAATTTCATCTCGAGTCTGAAACACGTGCCGATAGCAGTTTACCCATAATTCACAACTGAAGGATCACAGCTATCCCCGATCGTCAATCATTCTCTTTCGATTCAGGAAGCATTATTACGGGGACACGTCGAGAGCCCGTTTCGTTCCAACGCTTGACACGTAATGGCAACTTTCTGGTCTGCCGTGAAAGGGTCTCCCTTTTATATGCCCCTGTGTATAGTGAACATTCTGCATCGGGAATATATGATACGAAGAAAAAAAAATTATTTTTATTACCTCTAGTGAGGTGAGTGCAAGAGTGCACAGTTGTCTCTTGTTACCTCTCCACGTCCGGGGGAGTTGCCCCGGGAGTTTACCCAGGTGTTCCTCGCGAGGATCAAAAAGACTCCTTTTTGGCATGACGCGCTGTATATTAAAAATTCTACAGCGATAATACGCGGTTCTATGTATTCACCTACCTCCCAGAAAGAGTACACGGTCTCCCCTTGTTATCTTTCCATGTCTGAACGAATCCCACGGGGAATGGAAATCAGGTGTACATCGCGGGTCACACGCCGCCAGGGATGGACGAGAGGGAGAGCAATTCCGGGGCTTTTCACGAGAAGCACAACAGCAGATACCTGCAGCTGGTCCGCCAGAATTCGGACATAATTCGCGGACAATTCTTCGGGCACTGGCACTCGGACACGTTTCGCGTGATCTACAATGACGCAGGTACGTGCAGATTGCATGCCGCCGGAGGATTTTTCGTTTTCCGGGGACCAGAGCTACCTCGCGAGCGTTTTCCCCTCGCTTTTTCCCGGGTCCCCCTGTTTCTCCTTCCTTTTCTTCTATTTTTTAGCCGTTCGACCGAGCACTTTTCGCCGCTGTTTCGCCGCTTTTCGACGTTTCCCGACGATTTTCGACGCGTTTCGATTAGCCGTCGATGCCTCGGGGCGTTCCCGGTGATTCCGGTCGACCCGAGAGGCGACGTCTTCGCGTCGTTTTTCCTCCCCCCCATTTTTTATACATTTCGTTTTTTTTTTTTTCATCACGCGGACTGAAAAGCCGACGAATTGAAAGGCCCGCCGCAAAAATCCACGGAATCCCCAGGCCAAGGGGAAAGAGCTCAGCCCCAGGTGAATGGAGGACGCTAATAAACCGGCGAAACGGCGCCGGCGAATCGCCCGGTTACTCCCTCGAGTTTAAAAACGCGACCCCTGGAAACAACATTTCCAATTAGCGGATTCGCCGCGTCAGAAGACGCGGCTTAATTGGCCCGATTATCCGGAACGGGTCCTTCTATCGAGAAACGGAGCGCGCACCTTCCACAGGTGTAGTCGGTAATTTACGGGACCCAGTGGATCCCCCGAAATGAGATATAAAAAAGACTCCTCGCACTCTGCAAAGAAATATATCGAGAAACCTTAATAAATACTGATATCCTCCCTGATCGAGTTCGACGTGTCAATTTCAATGGACACGATCCGTCGGATTTTCTTTTTTTCCGCAGGTGCCCCGGCCTCGTGGATGATGATGGCTCCCAGTATCACTCCGCACCGCCTGGGGGGACCGAACAATCCTGGATTACGGCTGTACAAGTTCGAGACTAATACCGGACAGGTAGGCGGGATTTAAACTGGCTCGCGAGCCGGGTAAGCCTTTATTATCACGTGCAATTCGGGCGTTACGTGTCGGCCGTGCTAAGCCGCGCCTCACCGAGTTTATTTGCGCGAGCCGACTTATCTAATGACGTTGACGAAACGCTCCAAATGCATAAGGTCCAACGCGTGCCGTGACTGATCCCGGTAGCAGGTGCTCGAGAATTCTAACCAACGAGACCCTGACGTGTGCCAGCTCGCGTGGGACCGACGTTCTCTCGGCCCGACTCAGCCTCGAATTCCCCACGCGTTGAAAGCGTTTCCTAAACCGTTTCACCCTGAAACTGTCTCGGCGAAAAAAAAAGAAAAAATTAGAAAGGAAAGGAAAAAAAAGAAATATCCCAGGAAATGCAGTCTCCTCAGAAAGAGGCTCTACCTCGGAGGTCGGTCCTTAAAAAATGCCAGGGCTCTCCGAATTAATTGTGACAGGGCGAAACGCGAAACACCGCGGCCGGGTCCTCCTTAAATTACGCGCTAGGCAACGTCGGGGGACATTTTTCAGGGTGCCTTTTTCCCGACCGCTCCAGGTGAGTTACCCGTCGCGAAGGGAGAAAAGGAAAGGAAATCCAGGAGTTCGGAGGGGAGGGAAGGAAAATGAAAATAACGAATCCCAACGAGAGAAGCCAACACCTGAAACTCCCCGAAATCGCTTCAGCGGAAGGAGGCGCGCCACTTCCGCGTTTCCCCGGCGGTGCTCCCGCATCGGTGGCTCTGAAAACGCGGGGAGTATCCCTCGGAAAGTGAGATACCTCCCCCCGGAGTAACGAAATTCGGTAAAAAGTCGGGAAGCCGGAGATAGCGATAACAATAGTAATAATGATAACGGAGGTACAGCGATCGCCGAGGCGTCGGAAAACGGGTCAGCAAGTATTCGTTTCCGGGGCCAAAATGGTTCCCTTTTTCCCCCCGCGGACTGGAGCGGAGTTTCCTTACTTCGCGCTCGTTATCGGAGAGCCGGTTGCACCTCGGTGCAGTCCGCTGCAGCCCGCTGCAGCCGGGCGCGGCGCCTCCCTTTCCGCCGGGACTTTTAATGCGAGTTCCCGCGGCCGCGGCGGGTCCCGCGGAGCGAAAATCGCCCAGACCCTCAAAGAGCGAGCGCTGGTCGCGATTCATTGTTCCCCCTGCGATTAAAACCGGCGATATCGACCGCCCATCCCTGGTCGCCCCGACAGGTGCATCGAGTGCATCGAGTGCAATTAGAGAATCCTCGGAGAAAGTCGCGGAAAGGAAGGGTTCTCCTCCTGAACATGGCGCCGTTTGCACACGACCAGCAAACCCGGGGATGGCACCGGTTCTTTTTCGATGGTAATAATGTAAATAAATGAGAGTTACGTTGTTTTTGAATGCAAAGTGGACGGTTTTGCCGGTACGTCTGCAAACGGCATGAAAGTCCTTAAGTCCGGGACCTTATTCGTACCATTGGTTCGACCCATCCCGTCCCGGCGATCGGCGGAATCGTTTGATCCTTTAACTCCTTCGGCAGGTTCTGGATTATACGCAGTTCTATCTAAACTTGGGCGCCGCTAATTCCGCGGGCAAGGCGAATTGGGCGGTGGAGTACTCCCTCCTGGCGCACTACGACCTGAAGGAGATCACGGCCCTGAGTCTGCACAACCTCGCGGACAGATTCACACAGTCGAGCGATTACGCCTTCGTCAGGTGAGTACGGATCCGCGGGATAGCCCCTCAAGGTTTTCCAATTTGCGCCGGGGGTACCGGGGAACTTTATGACCCAATTTCGGGACTTCGGGAAGACAAATCGCTCGACCTCCCCCAGGGGACGTACGTCGCGCCGGGACTGATCAAAAACGCCATGCACTCGCTCAACAGGGCCATCGCTATCGCTTAAAGAACAAATAACCTCTCTTGGGTCCTAAAAAAAAATATATATACAAAAAAATAATAAATATAGAAGTATGAAAATGTTAAAGAGAGAAGTAGGTGTCGCGATCCTTTCCCGATGGGCATCGGGGCGAATTTTGGAAAATCGTCTCGTCTTTCCCGGGAGAAAGAGAAAAAAAAATGAAAGGCTAGAAAATGCGAAAACGCTCCCCCGGAAAGGAGGCGCGGGTTTGTGGGTCGCGGCGAAAAAGGGAGGAGGGGTAGAGAAAAAGAAGGGAGGGCAAAAAGAAACGCGGCACTCGGCCCGCGGGGTTTTTTGCATAGAGATCCGCTGTCGCGAGCGATACGCCGCGGCGGAGCGCGGCCTGAAAGTTCCCCGCATTTTCCCTTGCGTTTCCGCGCCGTCGCGCCGGGTTTTCTGTCACAATTCACAGCCTACATTCCGGCGTCCAGCCAAGGCAAAGCGCGAGGCCCCTTAAATATTTCGAAACGCTCGCGCGAACGTGTAATATTCCTGCCGTTTTGTGGGCGGCCCGTTTCCCTCTTTTTCAAGGCGCGTTACCTCCGCGCGATACCTCGATGAGCGCCTTTTTCCGTCGCGGCTGGGAGACATTTCCGTCACTTCCAGAGCAAAGGGGAGCAAAGGGCACCGACATGAATCCCGAATTCGCGAGCTATCGCTCGCCTCGAAAGATCCGCAAGAAATCCGAGAAAACCCGAAAAGTCCAAAAATGTCAAACACTAATTCCGGATATTTTTTTTTTTTATATTCCTTATGCCCAAACCTCGTTAACAAAGTGCCCCGGATGCGCGAACGCTCGTGGAATGAACGGGGGCATGGGAAAATGAATTACAGAGGCAGACGTCGCATTTTCGGGAAATAGCGAAAATGAGAGGAGGGAGTAGTGCCATTGCGCATTCCCCGTGAAACTCGGGCATCTCGGCGGAAGAGATTCCCTGGTCTTTTTTTACGGTCGTTAACTAAGGAAAGATCATCCCCGGGCATAAGCGCGTTTCCGGGGAGGCCATCCTAGGAAAGCGTCCTGGAAGGCGGAAAATCCCCGTCGCTCCCTTAGGGTTCGGTGGCCGCGTGTCCTGGGCAGTCGGCGCACGCTCGATCTCCCCTTAGGCTGATACCCGGGCATTTTTCCGGCCAGATAAACAGAACTCGTGCGCGATCTCCTGAACGGCGATTCCTCCTCTTAGGAGCATCCCCGCGTTCACGCTCGATAGCTCGCGCCAGCTCCGTAGGGCGTTAATTGCGCAACTGGAGCAAAGATCGGCGGAAAGAGGATCGCGGCGTACGGTCGAGGGAAGCAAAAAGCGGCCATAAAGGGAGGGCTGAATTAATTCCCGGCATTGTATCCAGATATGTGCCGGTGATTACGAAAGTGCTCTGAGTCATGTACTCGCGCGGAGGCGCCAGGACCTCCGTAACCCGCTTGTGCAATTCCTTTCAGCGTTTGGGTTTCCTTTAATCGCACCTGGACGCGTCCACCGAAACTCATTAAAATTCGTTAACCTCGATTTTGTATCGTTAAAAATTTTCCAAACGACCGAGAGGAAGGAAAGACGTCGCGAGAAAGAAGGCGCGAGTTGCGGATTTTCTATGGGGTCTTCGCGGGGTTCCCTCTCGCGGGCCTTTCCGGCTTCCAGGAGGGTCCCAGCGCCCTCGGGACTCGTTCGAAAGGCGGAGGTCGGCTAATTCTTGGCATCGTCCCTGTGCAGATATTACGCGGCGAACACGGTCTCGCTGCCCCGGGAGGTGGAAGAGATATGGGGCTGCGGCGGAGCCCTGAGCGGAGCCTGTGCCCTGCACCACTACTGCGCCGTGACCCGCCTGAACCCGGACTCCTTCAGGAACTGCCTGGCCTCCTACGCGTACGCCCTGGCGGGAGGAAAGGGCGCGCCAGGTGCCCGGGTGCACCTGGCGCCCTACCTGGTGCTGGCGGCGGGCTCCTACCTCCTCAGGAACCGGTAGGGGGAACCCTGGACCGCGTCTCCGGGGGTATTATCGTTTCAGCGAGGTATCACCGCTCCCTTCGGGCGCGGCTTCGACGAGGGCGCGTAGTCCCTCGCCCAGGTCGGATCCAAGAGTCTCGGATGCCGCTCCTCCTCGTCGAGGGAATCCGCCGATCGCGGTCGGACCAGGTCGAGATCGATCAGGGACCTGGAGATCCCGGAAGGAATCGGGGAAGGCTAAGGGGGGCGAGAGGGAATGGTCCCTAGGTCGATCGAGAACTCGAAGGCGATCGACCCTGCTTGAAGAAGGTTAAGGCTCGTTTGCGACCCTCGCCATTTTTCCGCGACATCGCCAGGAGAGCTTCCGGCATCCGACGTCGAGGAGACGAACCATCAGGTAAGGTCGGCGAGTTTCGCGACTTCGTCCGCGGCGAGAGGACGGAGGTCCGACTTTTCTTGAGCCGGGGTGGAGCGATCGAGGTATCGATCGATCGATCGATCGGGGTCGGACGGAGATTTGGACCAAAGGCCGCTTACCCGTCGAGCGGAGTCGAGGAGAGTCGCGCCCTCGAGTGCACGCGGTGCATTTCCGCCGTTCGACGTTTCGGACCTCGGGGTCCCCGTCGACGGGCCATTACGCTCCGCATGTCCGTATAACGTATGTCCGTATAACGATGTTCCGTGTGTCGCGCGCGTTAAACTCTGTAAACCTGTATAAGGATAGCCAGTTACGGCCTCGGGGAGTAAACTCTACCGGGCGTGACCGTATACGTGTACTAGCCGACGCGGTCCGCCCTGCGAGGCGACCGCGCTCGATCTCTCTCTCTTTTTCTCTCTGTCTCTCTCCCACAGATTCCGCTTTTTATCGGGAATCGATTAACGCCTCCCGCCCGAACGCGCCGTTTCATTATGGAGGGAACAATTCGCGCGATCTGCTTCCGATTTAACAAACTTCCACGGTTAATGCCCGGGCGACCGGAGCTTGCGAGATGCCGGGCGAAATTGGACTAAAACGGGGGGAGGAAAAAAAAAATAATAAGAAACTCCGGTCGACCGTCGCAGATTTTCCGTTCCCTCGTTTCGGGGGTCCCGGGGAACAAAGACATCGCCCGGAGTAGTTCTCGACGGTGTTCGATCCGCCGAGGGGATCCCGTTTCGATTTCCATTTTCCAGCTTCGCCCGATCCTCCGCCGGCCCTGATTCTTTTTCGATACCTTCCAGGTGCTCCATTTTCTTCCCGAATTTTCCCTCGTCCCGTTCGCCCTCGTTCTCGGCCGGTCCCGCTTCTGGTCCGGGTGAATATGACTCCGTGAATGGAATCATTGTCCGAAGGAGTTCATAAAGTGCGAACCTCCTGCCGGATGCATCCCGACGCCCGGAGGAAATCCCGACTTCCTCCTTGATTTTCGCCGGTCTCTTCCTTTCGGCTTCCCCGTACTTAGATACGTTTCCAGAATCTTCGAGGCGATTCCTCGGGACGCCTAAATCCCGGATTGGCCGGATAGAATTTTCCGCTCGCATCCCGGATTCCAGACTCCGAGCCTGCCGGTCGCCATTTTGAAGCCCTGCGAGTTTGGATTTCTTTTCCCTTTTTTTTCCGAGCGGGCGGGAGGATGAAAAAATCGCATGGTGAATCCCATTATTGTCCCTGTATACGCCGTGCCGCCGGTTCGACGCGATATATATGTGCTGGACTCGTCGGATCACTGTCCCGAATTCCTTCGATTTCACGTACGTATCGATAGTCGAGAGCAGAGGCCACTGGAAGCGTCCAAATCGAGTGTCGTGGTCCAGGAAGCATCTCTCGATTAGGCTCGTACACTTCGTGACGAGATTCCCGTCACGATTCCGAGATTCCTCCCGAAACTCGAGTCGAAAGTGAAACCCTCGAGATCTCTCGACCTTCCGCGAGAAGAAGCGATAGGTCGAATATTCAGAATTTACCGGTACCGCGGCGATTTTAATTTTTTTTTTTCTTTTTTTTTTTTTTCCCACCCCTTGCAGTTTCCACAGTCAGCCGAGGTGTAATTTATCGTATGCGAGGCTCGCGCGAGCTTTCGAGATTTCATAAAGGGGGAAAAAGTACGGGAAGATCGGAGCGATACTCCGAAGCGGCGGCCCTTCGTTCAGCGCTTTTTGATCAAACGCCATGCAAAACGGGAGCGGATCGATTGATACCGACGTTTCTGAAAAATACATGACGCCTCTTCCCCGGCTTTGCCGATTCGTCGACCTCGGGGTTTCGTCGGGATAACGACGGAAAAATGAAGTCGAAGGGAGGCGTGTTTATTGCCCGTTTTTATCCCTCCTCGAGGATCTCAGAAACGGGGAAAAGTCGGGGTCGAGTGGGATTTTTAGCGGGGCGGGTTTTCGAAAATGCGGGGAAAACGCGCAAACACACCGAGGGCGCGATCGCTGGAAACAAATGGGCGGAATTACAGGAAAGCGGCCGTAGACAGGGCGGCGCGTAAATTACTCGCGCAGATGCACCGGTCGTGGTATAAGTCGTCAAAATGTCGGGCCAAGAGTAGAAACGGTCCGTCATCGCGTTTTGCAGCGGCGTTAATGCCGCTCCATTGGTCGATCCGTCACGTCGGGGCGAAAACGCGACGCGGATGCAGCGGGGCTTTGGTTGCATCGAGGTGTAGCTTTCGAAAATGGCCCAAAAAACCGGGGTAAAAATACTCCAAAACTCAAGATCGCATTCGGCAGCGATAACGACTCGGGACTCGATTGGAAAATCCGCGGATTGGGTCGCGCGGGAATTTGTATCTTTTTTTTCCCCGGAATTTTTTCCAATCTTCGTAAACCCATTTATCCCGGCAGGGCCAATTCTCGGGGGATAATTTATTCATGTATCGAGTTATAGGCGGAGAGAAAAAAAAAAAAGAACTCGGAGTGCGTTTCGGGGTCCCATTCGCCAATCCGTCACATCGGGCCGGCGTGTTGCACCCGCTGCATCCGTTTCTCTATGCAAAATGGTTAAACGTCGTCCTCGATGCTCGTTTTTCCGGTCGCCTCTCTACTCGGCCTTTTTTCCCCGGCCCCCGGCTGTCTTCCTCCACCGTTCCGTAAATTTCCCTCTTTACCCTTCTCTCCCTGGTCCTATATATACATATATATATACGCGCAGATATATACATATATATCGGATCACCGTGTCGGCCGCTCGGCAAATTATGCGTCGCGACGTGCGGCCTGGCGAATTCCGAATTCCGAATTTCGACCGGCGAATGTCGAATTCGAGACTCAGGCGGATCGGCCCGACGAGAATCGCCCTCGGTAAATTTCTGTACCGGTGCTCGTTCTCTCTCTCCCTCTCTCCCCCAAATTCGACGTTTCTCTTTTTGGACGCCGAAGCTCATCGGCGAATCCCATTGCGAGCCCGGCCGAAAACATTGATTCAGTGTCGGCCAAACGATTTGGCTAAAAAGCGGAAAAATCATCCGCACGTCAGCTCGGCCGACTTTCACGGCGCGACCGCCGGGGACCTTAAAATAAAATGACGAGCCCGGGGAAATTCATTTTCGGGAAATGGAGGCGAACCCGGCCGCCTCTCGCGCCATTTCACATTTTTCCAATCCGCCCGGCCGAGGCCGTAGCGGCTTTTCGTCAAGGGTGTACGACCCCTAGATTAAGAAGCTATTACCTATCCTTAGGGAGATATCGAAAGATGCCGAATGGAGTTTCCGCGTTTATTTTCCATGTAACCTGTTCGCAGTAGCCGAGTTTTCGGGACGGTGGTCGGCGAGTTGTCAAGCTTTCGAGGAGATCATTATATTCGTACCGCGTTTTCATGGATTCGTGATTGTCGTCGAGGCAGAATTTATTAATAAAGGAATAACCAATTTCTATCGATGGTTCTCTCATTTCATACGCCTTCACCCTTCTTCCCGGTTCCCGACAGAAAATACCCGCTCTGAAAATAATCACCCTTTCCCCGCGCCCTTCGACTGCACTGGTACTTTTCCTCCAATTATAGATGTAAATTAATAAAGAAAAAGAAATCCCCGATTTTCCGCGGCAAATCGATCGGCCAAATTTCGAAAATGGTGCATTCCGCCTTCGTCCCTGCGGAAAGAGGAGGGAAGAGGAGGAGATGCAGGAAATTCGAAAGTGCCGGGGGAATCTAACAGCGCGAACCTGGCAATTCCGTCCACTGGAAAGACGTCGTTACGCCGAAGAAGGTAAGTAATTTTGCCCGGATGTAGAAATCATGATTAGACCGTCCACTTTCACGGGCCATTCCTTCCGATTGCCTCGTCCACGGTGTCGTTTCATTACGCACGATACCGTACCCAGTTCAACGAGGACGGCGATTGGTGGACCGATCCAAAACGAGATTTCCCGGAGAGATTCGGCCACCTTGGACCAGCTTTCCCAGCCTCCCAAGAGAAGAATCCCCGTCCAGATTACCGGAAAACCCCTTAACATGGTCCTCGGCCGTATCGCGATCAACATAAAGGGAATTAACGCAAAGACGTCCCGGAAAAACGTCAAACTTCAATAGTTCCTTGAAAGTGCCCGCTCGCGTGCCAGACGGCCATTCCGCGACATTTCATTAAAAGCGCGAGAGAGCCCTAATTAAACGGCAGATAATTTCGCCACGTCCAGGAGGAAATGCCGCGGGAAATCTGTTAACTTTCTCGCGAGCCGTTTCTCCGGGCCGTAAAAAGGGCGGAATGAGCGGCATAAAAATTATGCTAATGCCCACTATCGCCAGTCCGTAACTGTCCCCAGGTACATTACGGGAGCGTACATATTATTTTCCAGAGCGACCGTGAGAAATATCGCGATCTCGAAGGACGTCGGGTAGCACCCCTCGAGTCGGCTCCGCACAATTTCCGCCCGTCGAAATAAATTCCGCGTACGCTCGCCCGCTGATGAGGATAAGTCGTTCGTTAATGCGAAGGGAAGGAGGCATTTGGCGAGAAAAGGCGAAAGCCGCCACCGGAAGAGGGTACACCCCTCTCTTTTCACCGTCCACGTGGAGCCAAGTGCATAGGTGCACGGGTGCAT